TTGCTATGCTTAATTACTTAATGATTATGAGGTGCCTTAGACCCCCTACCTGTGCAGCTTGCTCTGCCTTTGCCTGGCTAAGCTGGGCTTGCAAATTGCTAATTAGCTCTTCTTTCTCCTGAAGTACTTGTTTTATCTTCTCTATTTCCAGCTCTTCCTGTGTAGAACTTTTGTCATGCTGAAAATAAGGAGATAAAGTAATCTACTTAAAATAATTACAATTAACATACAATTCGTCTTTTGCTCTATTTCTGGACACAACTATTTGATGTAGAGTTAAATAAATCCTCTGAAAATTCTTTGATTATTCTGTATTTTTCATCCTCATACTCTTAGCACAAATCATCATTCTTTCTAAAAGTTCATTTAACTGGCTCCAAGTAATTCAAAATTTCCCTTAAAACATAACAGAAAGATTTCTCCCAAGTTGTCTCCCCAAATATATGCCAAACCTAGCTGCTTGCTACTCATGGTAAATGACTATACAGTGGAGGTCAGCGAAAGCAGGTCTGAGGTTATTCTCCCTGAAGGTTATCAGCCATCTAGAGCAATCAGACTGTATAGTCTGTCCCACCCTAATTTGGCCCACTCCCTTCCAATAAGGATAGTAGTAGATTGTTTCTCTGAAGGAGAACCCAGAGAGGTCAAGCCCACTCAAAGATGACCACGATTAGGCTGCCATATTGAATCTAGGGTCCACCCTTCTTGTCACCTGTACTCCTAGTCCTTCTCCTTCCTATTATGTGTACACCCTCAGCTCATGCCCTTCCTGTTATGCTTATGCCCATTGTATATCCCCCTCCTATTGCTTGTATTGCCTATTGTACAACCCCTTCCTGTGACATATGTCTTTACCTATAATTAGGGGGCATGCACACATCCAAAGATATATAAGCCTAGTTACCAATAAATCGCTCTCACTCTTAAAAAATGAAATGAAAAAAGACATGCTGTTGCTGTTAGGTGCCATCCAGTCAGTTACGACCCATAGTGACCCTATGCACAACAGAATGAAACACTGCACGGTGCTGCTGCATCCTCCATTGTTCTGTGCCCGAGCCAACTGATGCAGCGACTGGGCCAATCCATCTCAGGGAGGGCCTTCCTTCTTTTTGCCACCCCTCCACTTTACCAAACATGATGTTCTTCTCCAGGGATTGGTCTCTCCTGAAAGTAAAGCCAAATTATCTAAAGCCTTGCCATCCTTACCTCTAACAA